ACGCAGGAATAGCGTGTTTTCCTGTTCGCCCAGCCGGAGAGGCTCAGCAGTGCTCCCGCAGTAGCCTTAGCGAGCTGCTCTGTGGAATCTTTCCCCTGTATTTCCTGGCCAGGCTGTGTCTGTGATGTGATGTCTTTGAAAGGTTTCATTTAGCTGAGGCTTTGTCCGTGACGTTACTGGGGAAAAAAAAAAAAATAATGCAGCGATGTCCAAAGAGATTTATTAGAGACTGGCATAGTCGCAGCTCTCTTGAAGCCTTCTGAGGAAGCAGCTTTATCTCAGCTCCTTGTGCCTAATTCCGTGTTTTGTTGGGACAGCAGGAGTTGTGTGAAGAACTTGGTGAGGTACTTGGGCCTGGCACATCGTAGAGGTTTTGGTGGCTGTGACTAAGGGGGCTGCGTTTGTAACAGGAGTTGGACTATACGTCAGAGCAAGCCTTTGATCTCGGGTTTAATGTGTTCTGCACAACCTGGACAATGGGTGTTAGCAGCGGAATGGGAGAGTTAGCAAGTTGCAGCAGTCTGAGCGTGACTTAGGGCAGAAAGTAAAATCCTAAATCAGGAAGGAAAGGGGATATTTCTAAAATGCAGCAGGTTGTTGGCACTTTGTGTGTTCATCTTGCACTCCTGTTGAAGAGTAACAGGAATGGCAACCCGATGCAATTTGGGAAACCAGAGCTGGACCCAGCATTTGGTGAAAGGGGAGGAAAGCTGTTAGCAGCTACGGGGTATTACCTTGCCATAGGGGTGTCATGTAAACAGCATCTCTTTGAATGCCCCGAGTGCTGCATGCTCGGCCATACTGACTGCAGCCTGACATATTGGCTCTTGATTTCCCAAAGCCCCTGGCAATGCATCTCCCAAGAGAAAAACCCAACCTTAAATTTAACTCCATATACTCTTTTGTTGTCTCAGCCCCAGGCAATGTAGCGTGTGATTTATATTAATCATGTTTTAAAGCACTGTAGACTTTTAAAGCGCAAGTTCAGAGTAATATTGGAGCTTCTGTATTTAAATAAAAGCACTGAAATAGTATGTCTAAGTATTGCTCTTGTTAGTCTGCCTAGAAGCTCTCTGTAGTGTGAGGAACTGTTCCAAATCAGGTGAATATTGCTAATTCCTTAATTTTCTGGAGCTTGGAGGTTTTTTTTTTGTTTTGTTTTGTTGTTTTCTTATTTGACTGGTAAGTTTGAGTATTAGGTGGTACTGTCTAATCCCTGCCTGCCCTGGATTTCTAGAATCTGGTAGGGACTAGACCATTCTTTGCTAGGGAGCCAGGTGATTATACTGAAGTCTAGCTCAGAAGTCTTTTTCAGAATTTTATTACTTCCCCAGGATTTTATTCTTGTTTGGTGCATAGTTAATTTAATGTTGGTCTTATTTTGCCTCTGTAAATCCTTCATCATAAATGAACATGCTGGAAGTACAAAGCTTTCCTCTGAGCATGTTGCATACCTACTTGAAGGCATTGCCAAAGAAAATCTACTCTCAGTGAATGTTTTTAAACAAACTGGTTGTTAACACATCCCACACATGTGAACAGCTTTGTTTTCTTACAGCCCCTTCTTCTCACCTTTTACTTTCTGCCGCTGCTGGCTGCTGTTACAGCAGAGGTGAATCACTTGAAGAGGGAAACCTGTGAACAGATCCCCCTCACACACCTCCCCAATCTCTATCTACCTCCTTTTCTGCCCCTCTACCTCCCCCAAATCCACCTGAAAATTCTGTTCTTAATGAGGACAAAAGCTAGAAAGCAAACTTTTCGGTGGTGTTAGGAAAGTACTTTTGCTGATAATGGCGGATGCACCTCATTCATGAAACCTAATGGTCTGATTTGGTCTGCAACTATGTCATTGACATTAAACTATATCTGCCAGTGTACCTGAAGGTGTAAAGCGCAGTCTGTGATGTCCTTGTACAGTCTCCTGTGTTTGCTGTTACAGTCTATGAGAGTGAATAAGTAATGTCTGTTTACTATCTTTCAGCAGAAGTCTGTCTTCTTTAGTATTTGGTTAGAGTACAGCGTTCAAGGTCAGCACTTGATTCCTGGAAGAAATCTGTTGATTTATTACTAAGCATACTCGCGTACTTTCTTTCTTCTTTTGAAATATCCTGTTACTCCCTTGCTAGATAAGAAACTCCATAATTAAAAAGTGTTCTGTTTCTGAGCTCCAGTCCATGCATCCAAGAAAAGGCGGCAAAGTAGTCAAGCCTAATGGACTTTGTCAAATTGTGTTGTGGCCTTTTCAGATCTAGACGGCCTTTGAAGTTGAACTTTCTACCAGCTACAAAGATGCATCTCTTTATTCCACATCACTGTAACAATTGCCAGACCCTCACTGGAGGATAAAGAGGAAGAACAACAGTCTGTTAAATTTAATAGCATGTGGTAGTGGTCAAGAGCAGTGAAATGGGTCTTTGCAAAACATTAAAACACAAAACAAAAACTCAGTGCTGTATTTCTAGAGGCTCAGAGATTTGTTGCCTTAGGTGTGTATTTGTCCCCATAGATTGTGTCTTCCAGGACCTGTTCAGTAATAAGGAAGCTTTTATAAAAGAGACTTCAATATCCAGAACATAAATCTGTCTTAAGAAAAATTTATTAAATTCTATTACATGGGCTGTCTGTGATGTCTTATGGTTTTAGTAATTAAAAAAAAGTAATGCCTGCTTGCTGGGTAAAGTGAAGTTATAAACATGGTGCCGCTCATATGGTAATAATAAGTTTCTAGTAACTCTCCAGGAATTAGCAATGATTAATTTGACAACAGATAACCACCACAAATGTTCTTTACAGAGGTATCAAACCTGGGAAAACTCTAGTACAGAGTGGGTTTTTTTGTTCAGTTGGTTTGGGGTTTATTTTGCCACTGAATAGAATGTGAGGTATTTATTCTGCTTTAAGAAAGCTGTTTGAGTAGGATGTTGAGAATGCTTTCATTACATGGGATCACATACTAATTTAGAATTTCTCTTACAATACCAAGGGAGGAGGGAGTGAGGAAGCGTGAACCAGAACTCATCCTGAATCAGAATGATTTTTCCCTCTACCAGAAGAGAATTGGGATGTTTATGTGATACGTCAAGGCTTAAAAGTAATAATTTGTTAGACTTGAAATTGTGGATCTGAGCAATGGATCGAATGACTGCTACTGCACACCATATCCAGAATATATTCCAGAAATCTTGTTGCAAAGCAGGGAGCCAGAGATACTTTTTCTCCCTCTAAATGGAACATTATTTCCAATTTGGTTTGCCCAATGTATAACCTTGATTTGGCAAAAGAGTCCTGCAAATTTAATTGAAGGTTTCAGGTATATTTGAAGGATTCTGGAGTTTTAAGTTTCATTTAAGGTCATCACTGTGGTGACTTTAGTTTCACATTCTCCACCCTGTCAAATTTTGTGGGTTTTTTTTTTTTGTTCACGTGTCATCATACAGATTTTTACTGGATCCATGGCATTCATACCCGTTCAAAAATTCTACTACTTAGTGAAGGTGTTTTTTTTTTCTTGGTTCCCATTTCAACTTCTTTTGTTAATGCATCATGTTATACTTTACTACTAAGAAGCTTTTTGTTCTCCATTAAATTAGGCAGAAGGATCATCCTAGTGTTGACAAATTACAGTTGTCTAACCGAAGTAAGATAGTAAGCTTTATCCTGGACTTTTTCTTAAAGTGGGCTGGCCTTCTACCTAGTTCATGCTTGTCTAGATTATGATTCTTTAAGTTAGATGTAAAATTTAATTTCAAAAAGCTGTAGTTGGTGTAAGTAAATGGTTGTTTTTTTTTTCTTTCTATTATATGTGTCTGAATGTATTATGACTTCTTAAAATCTTTCAGCTGAGAGAAAATGACTGCAATCAAGCATGCTTTACAGAGGGATATTTTCACTCCCAATGATGAACGCTTGTTGAGCATTGTGAACGTGTGCAAAGCAGGCAAAAAGAAGAGAAACTGCTTTTTGTGTGCCACAGGTACATAGTAATACTACACAGTATTTCGTGTCTTCACTTTTTTATGCAGTTGCGTTTGTCTTCGCTTCATTTACAGTATTTATTCTTGCCCCGTATAAAACAGGTGCTTTCCTTTGCTAATGGAGAAAATCAGTTGTAGCTTATACTTCTGCTATTGCTTCTACTAAAAAAGAAACAAAACGCTGTACTTTTATTCGCAGATCTCATTGTGATTTGAAATGAAAGAAACAAAATTATTTGTGTGGGACTGGTAGATTTTGAAGCAGGCTTTATATACTGCTTAAAAGGGGATTTAGTAGGCATTTAGGCTGATCGGCCTAAATAAAATGCAATAAAGAGTACCACTTAGTCCAAAGCAGAGGGCTCTGGAAAGACACAGTAATTGAACTGTGATGTTCCTTTGAGTGTATGTGCATTATATTATATCTCTTCAAAATATTAGATGTTTGGGTTGATCTGTCAATAAATTAGCTTGCTAGAATATTTTTTGACTGAGGAATCTCAGAAAATGTTTTTAGTCTGACTGTAATCTCCAATTACCTATGTGCTTTGTCAGTTATGTGGCTGTGGTCTGAGGTCTGCTATATCAAATAAATACCTGTAATTTGGATTAATTACTTCACAAGCTGTATAGCGTCATATATCTGGTTGACTGAGGCTTAAACTGAGCTGTGGATATTGCGGATGAAAATGTTTCAAAGGATGTCTTGTCATCAAATAAATATTATGAAATCTGCCCCACAGATAATTCATTTCAGAAGTTGAAATAGAGCAGAAACAGATCTTAAAGTAATTTGTGCATTTTGAAATTACTCTTTTACTTCTTTTAACAGTGACAACGGAACGACCAGTGCAAGTAAATGTGGTAAAAGTGAAAAAATCTGACAAGGGAGATTTCTACAAAAGGCAGACTGCATGGGCTCTTCGAGATCTCGCTGTTGTTGATGCCAAAGATGCTGTTAAAGTATGTGTAACTTTTTTCTGTTTAGTTCTCCGCTCAGAACATCCTTTTATAAAGTTCATAGTTAGAGTTAACTTCCTTGATACTAGTTGCTCTAAAGCTTAGATTGATAGCACATTAATTAGGACTTAGGATGATACATTCCTGTGCTGCTTATGCCTGCATTTTCTTCCAGCCTTTCCAAGAATATAATCCTGGTAAATTGAGTTAAGAGCAGTCTTGAATGTGCTTGAGTAGCAATATTCTGAGTATCTGCCCTGTTTATTGTAGTGATCTCTCAGTGACTGTAGAAGCTTGTGCTAAGGACCAGTACTTTTTTTTGTTTCAAGTCGTATGTGAATTTTTACTCCAAGCTTAGTTTCCCCTTAAAAAAAATTACTACCATCTTACTAATACATTGAGCTAGATGTAATGATTTTTGCTAGGACACTTAAAGCATTCTTAATGAGCAGTACGTAAGCTTGAAGGTGAGCTGTTGTGTCTGTTCTCCAGATCATGACATTGGCCATTTGTTGGCAAGTGAACAGTGCTGAGTTAGTGTTCTTTTCCATTGAACAACAAGAGCAACCTGGTTTTGACAATTTAAATCAGTCTTTGGTCATAAACTAAGATGTGCAGACAGGCAGAAGTGAAAATTCTTCATCTCATGATGTCTGGTTTTATGTTCTGTTAACTGGTGATTTGGAAGAATAGTGCAGAAAACTGTGAAGTTGAAAATAGTTTGATTTTCCCCTCCCCAAGTGTAGGTTAAATATGTTTTGTTATTTCGGTTATCCACATACTTGTTGGCTAGATTTTAGATTTTCCTTGCTGTCCCTAAATACTGTGTTGGAGAATTGCTTCTTTCAATTTAAGGTTCCATTTCAAATTTTATCATCTTTCAGGTCTTTTTCTTGCAAAACAGAATTTGGTTAACTGTTTTCAGAAGTGTGCGGTGAGGTACATACCACTCTTAATGAGTGATTTTGAAATTTTCTTTCAAAACACAAACATTGAATGCCAAACTCTCTCATATTAAAAAACATCAAAATTAAAGTTGATAAGTGTGTCATGCTTTGGCTTCCAAATGTGATTCTATGCAGGTCTTTTGACGCAGGCCTTTCCTGCACTAGTTGTCAGACAACTCAAATTTTATATAATGATACTTCTTGTTTATCAGTATAAGCTACAGAAAACAACAGAACTGCTTTTACCGTGATGTACAGGAAATACCATTTCCCATTGTGCGTGGTTTCATATGCAGCCTGCTTCCACAGATAGTAGTGACAATATAAGTAATAAGTAGTAGCAATAGCAGTTTTTACAAACTATGTGTATAAGTAAGAATTTAACATGTATGTGAGGCAATAATGTTTTTCATCAGAAGGAGGCTGGAACTTGTAAAATGCTTGGAATATGGTCTTTAAAACAGAATATTACCAGTTACAGTCTATACTGAGTTCATAAGTGGCTGTGGAAAGGAAGGTACTTTAATCATATATTATCAAAGCAATGTTCTCATGAGGCAATAAATCTAGCTGAAAATACTTCTATAGTAGTTTTTTAATGTTAAGATACCAAATGGTCTTTTCTATCCTGTTTAGTGCTATCAAATACTATCATATCTATAAAAATATATAAAGTGCTCATACTTTTTTTGCGCTTGCCTATTCCCCAAAGTCTCCCTGAATTGAGTTGTATATATTGTCAGTAATTCCAGCTACTATTTTTAGTTTCAGGAGGCTAACATAAGGCATTAGTCGTTCTGAGGACAGTGTTTCAGGGCAGACAGCACTGTCAAATGTTCTTGAAACTCTTAGAGATCTCTGTATTATGTGTTATTGTTGCCTTATCTGACTTGACAAATTGCTGTCTTCATAGCGTGGGTTCTGTTTTTTCACTTTCAATGTTTTAGCACCTTCATTAAGGTGCAAGAGTTGGTTTATCAGCTTAAGATTAGCATCTGTGTAATTTAATTTTTATCCTGTCATCTCAATAAGTAAATGAGTGAACAATCTGTGCTGCTCTAAGAATCGTTTGAGTGTTGAACCTGTAAAATATCTTTTGCAGGAGAATCCCGAATTTGACTTGCATTTTGACAAAGTGTACAAATGGGTTGCAAGCAGCACAGTGGAAAAGAACACCTTCATTTCATGCATCTGGAAACTCAATCAAAGATATCTCAGAAAGAAAATTGACTTTACTAATGTTAGTTCACAGCTTTTAGAAGGTAACTTTCTACAACTGTATGTTAAGTATAAAGTTTAATAATTATTCATGTAAAACAGATACACTAAAAAAAAACCCTACTCCTGATACTTTTTTTTATTAAATTTTATTCCGTTGTGTTTTGTAACTCTTCAGATAAACGAGGTGACTAGATAACAGATTTTCTGTTAGAAAATAGAACTGAGAGAAAATACTTTATTAACGAAGTTCTAAATTTTTATAACCTTATTGTATTTCTAAGACATTCTGTCTCTTGAACAAAATAACGTCTACCTGCAAGATCTGGTAGGTCTAAATATTTAACAAATCTGCTTTTGTTGGGGTTTTCACTTCCCCTGAATTAGAAAAATGCTTTAAAAAGTGACACTTCAGTAGTATGCGAAAGGTTATGTGAGGTCTTACATGAGGTTTCTAGTTTATAAACTGTGAAGCACATGTTAAATTCTGCTAGACCTTATTAAAGTTTGTGACTGATTTTACAGTCCTATTATCTTTCAATAATTAAAAATTTTTAATAGAGCTTAGTGAGTAAGCATATCTCATGCTAGGTCTGTCAGATGTGGTTAAACTGTTGATAGTGAACGCTACACTGGCTTGTGCGGAAGAACTTTAATTAGAAATGTAAAACAGGAAGGACAGCATTTCTGTATCTTGGTGTTGACTGAAATCTTTTTTTAACCAATCTCTAACTTTTCAAGGTTGTGCAATATGAAAGCATTCAAACTTACTGGCACTTAAAAATATACACACTGTTCATGCTTTGTCTAGCTAACATTCTCTGCTTCCTTTCCTCTGCTTTTCCATACCTTTTAATTCTTCAGAACTGCCTAAAGTTGCAGAAGGTGCGTAACACCTTTTTCCTTTATTCTTCTTTGTAAGCCATTTTTCTTAAATAAAACGCTTTTTCTTTTTAAATGGTGCTTTGGATAGCTTATCAAATTGCTAGAGATAAGAGATGTTTCAAATGTCCTAAACACTTTCTGGCTGGACTGTGTTAATGTTCTGTAAATAGTTTGTCATCCTTTGAATGGCTTGTTGAATTAAGTAAGCACTGCCATGAGAAATCATAGTTCATGAAAACATTGTTAATATCATTTTCACTTACCTCAGTACTGGTTTTCCTGCTGTGAAACTTAATCTTGAGCATCAAGGTGTTTTTTATTTATTCAGTGATAGATTTCTTAATCAACTTTAGTACATTTCCCTTCTGCTCTGTCTACCAAGAGAGGATCTAACTTTACTCATCTTCTGCTAACAAGCCTGGTGTAATACTGTAATACATTATGGTGTTGATTACCAGCATGAGAGGTGCATAAACTGGGACAGTATGTCCCTTTGTACATGCAATAAAGGAAGGTGGCTGTTTGTATATTGCTTATGTTGCATAATTTGGAAAACATCACTGTTGGGAACCAGTTCTGGAAATCTTAATGAAGCACATGGAAGACTGAGACTTGAAAAAAGTGTACGCAGGTATAAGGTGCTTGTTATGAAAGTTCTTTAATGGATTAATTTACTTAAAGATAGTTGAACATACTTAAATACTCTTAAAATGCTTGTGACTTTCTGCACTTGATAATGTGTTTTATTTCCCCTCTCTACGTAAGAATCCGTTCCAAGTGGAGAGAATCAAAGTGTGGCAGGAGGTGATGAAGAGGCTGTGGATGAATACCAGGAGTTAAATGCAAGAGAGGAACAGGATATTGAAATAATGATGGAAGGGTGTGAATATGCTATTTCTAATGCTGAAGCCTTTGCAGAGAAGTTGTCGAGAGAGCTACAAGTGCTAGATGGGGTAAACGTTTCTTCTAATGTACAGCATGTTAGCATGTTGAACTGTTTTCACTGATACTGACTACGTAGTGTTCTTTGAAAAGGTAGCTAACATGTTCTGCTGCATATTTAAATGTAAATATATACCTGCTTGTAAGCAGAGCTACATCCTGTCTATTATCAGATTTTGAAGTCTTCAGCTTTGCTCTTTACCTTTCAGACCTTCTGGGGTGAGTTGCAGGCTTTCAAATGAGTTGAGAAGAAAAAAGGGAGGCATTCTGTGTATATCTACCTTGAAGGCAGGGCTGCAGGGAGAGAGGGAGAATAGATGTTCATGTCCACGGGTGTGAACTCTGATGCCTAAAATACTACTCTCAGTGTAATTAGGAAACTGGCTTAGTCTAATAGCATTGTGGTATTTGGCTGTCTGTGGCAGTACCATATTGTTTGCTATTTTGCTTTTTAAACAATCCAACATTCTGAAGGTCACTTGGAAAACTTAAGGAGATGCAGGAGATACAGTCTTGAGGGTACAACTCCTCAAACTGTCAAGTTGTATTTTTCCCTTATATTTTTAAAATCATAGAATCATAGAATCATAGAATGTTTAGGGTTGGAAGGGACCACTAGTGGTCATCTAGTCCAACCCCCCTGCAGTGAGCAGGGACACTGCTATCTAGATCAGATTGCTCAGAGCCCCATCCAACCTGGCCTTGAATGTTTCCAGGGATGGGGCCTCCACTACCTCTCTGGGCAACCTGTTCCAGTGTTTTACCACTCTCACTGTAAAAAATTTCCTCCTTACCTCTAGCCTGAACCTACCCTGTTCTAGTTTAAAACCATTTCCCCTTGTCCTAACACAGCTGGCCCTATGAAAAAGACGTTCCCCATCTTTCCTATAGGCCCCCTTTAGGTACTGGAAGGCCGCAATCAGGTCTCCCCGTAGCCTCCTTTTCTCCAGACTGAACAAGCCCAACTCTCTCAGCCTGTCCTCATAGGAGAGGTGCTGTTATCATAGGGATAGCTGATGTTGCAACAGAAAATGTGACCTTATCATCTAAGCTGTTTTTCTGGAACTAAAAATGTTCCACTATAGTAGGGATTACCGTTTGGTTCAATACTTCAGTTCTAAGAACTTGAGCAAAGTCTGGGTTTTCTATCTTCATGAAATAAAGAAGTGTCATAGACTGAGGGACTGCTGCATTCAGTAACGCTTTAAATGAGAAGTATAACAAGTTTATATTTTGTTGCTTTCATCTAGATTTTTAGAATGTGTTTATTTGACAGTATAATAGAGGCAGAAGGAGATATCAGAATGCTTTTGAAATATAAAAATGCCTCTTAAAATGTTGTGGCTTAATTTTCTGTACAGGCAAATATCCAGTCAATTATGGCCTCAGAGAAACAGGTGAATATCTTGATGAAGTTGCTGGATGAAGCTCTAAAGGAAGTTGACCAAATTGAGCTAAAACTGAGCAGTTATGAAGAAATGCTTCAGAGTGTAAAAGAGCAAATGGATCAAATTTCAGAAAGCAACCACCTAATCCATCTCAGCAACACAAATAATGTGAAACTACTGTCAGAGATAGAGTTTTTAGTGGTAAGCATTTTTATTGTGTTTCCTGTGGTTGTTCAGGTATAGAATTCTGTTAGGTTGCTTCCCTCTTTAGCAACCATATATGAGATACATTTAAAATAATGAGTTTGTTTTTCTGTTTTATTACTGCACTAACTTCAGTAAGTTTTTATAATGGTGTTTGTCATTTTTGGTGCACCAGTATAGCAAGCTACCCTGCTTCTGGTTTATGGACAGTACTATCCATTATTTTGTAGAATCACATGGATTTGGCTAAAGGTCATATAAAGGCCCTTCAGGAGGGAGATCTGACATCTTCTCGAGGCATTGAGGCCTGCACTAATGCAGCAGATGCCCTTCTGCAGTGTATGAATGTAGCTCTTCGTCCAGGTAATGTTTCTGTTTAGACTACAATCTAACATACAGAATTTATTATTTATTGTATGTCCTTTTCCAAATAGTCTCAGATTTTGTTTGTGTAGACTGAAGGAATAGTGACCTCTGGTCCTTTTGGTTCCCATGTACAATATATTATTATATATTTTGTACTCTGTGAAGTTCTTTTTGGTTTTAGGACATGATATGCTTCATGCAGTGAAACAGCAACAGCAGCGGTTTAGTGACTTGCGTGAGCAATTTGCACGGAGACTTGCCAGTCATTTGAACAGCGTATTTGTTCAGCAGGTATTTATTTCTTACTATTTTATATGAATTTTTCAGTCACAAACTTTTCCTGAGAAGAAAAACAATCCACCTAAAATTGAGCGTGTTCTGTGATGTGATCAGTAAATGAATGGACTGCTAGAGACACTTCAGGCAGAGATATTACTAAGCATACCAAACTACTGTTGCCTACAGAAGTCGCTTACACTTTTAAAAAACCAAAATAAACCAAACAAAAAAACCCAATAAAAAACCCACACAAAACCAAACCACCACACTCTGTTTAGTGCATTTGCTATCTGAATTAAATACATTGTGTGATATATGAGGATTTCCTTTAACTGTAAGGCTTGATTAATTGAGGAGAAAAAGCATTGACTTTTTTGTTTAAGGGTGTCAGAGGCTGAGAATGTTGGGAGTTCCTGCTGTCTGAACTTCAAGGGCCATAAAGAAAAAAACCCCAACCATATAAAGGTGTTACTTTGTTTTTAAGCCTTAACTTGAAATATTCGGAAATCTCTGTCCCAAGACTTGTTTCCTAAAGGCTGGATGCCTTTTTTAGCATCAGTTTTTTAATTTCTGTATTTTTTTTATCTCCAACTAGTTTACTCAGACCCTCCTTCAACTCTGTAACAGGTCCTACTATCTTTCAGTTCCAGCAGTGAGTACATCAGGTTTGATACAAGCTTTTTGGACTAATTTTTTTGAGCTTGACTTACCTAACTAGCAGCTGCATATTTGTCTTTACAAAAAGAAATTTATCCTTACTGATTGCAGAGCATTGGACTTATGCCCCTTCTCGCTCCATTATTTTTATCAGTCCTCAAGCTTTGTTTATCTGTTTATGAGATAACATTTCTCTCCTCTGATCTCCAGAAATTGCTAAGAGACAGATTGAGATGTATGGAGGAAGAATATTTTCAGGAAATTGTAATAGATTTACAACTGTATAGATACTGCAATTGTGTATACTTGTAATATTTGTAAATAAAAATTAATTCTGTTTATACATTTTAGTGCAATCAAAGTTTTAGAAGTTTTTTTTTTTTGGACTGTGTGCAGCAAATGGAATAGAGTTATGCTGGATAATTGTATAGAAAATTGCATTTGAGAGTACAAGCCTGGCTTTTTATGGCAAAGATAAGTGCTTCCTATATTTTTCTTCATTTTGCAGAAGAATTCCAGTTCTATAGCGTGTTAAATTTTTTGCCTTTAGTTTCTTTTCTGTGTCTCCTGTCACTTTTCATATTTTGAAAAACTGAGCACAGACTATGTGTCCAGGCCTCTAAATGAACAAGCTATGTAAGTCCCGTGTAAATACATTCACGAAGTTAAATATTGGACTCGTGTATGAAAGTGGCTGTTAAATAGAATGCCCTTTCTGATCATCTGTTCTGGGGATTTTATTTTTGGAAATGGTAAGAGATTATTATTACTATGCAATACTATGTGTATTAGATGAAATACTTCTAAAGAGACTTCTCAGTGCTATTGAGAATGCTATTACCAATTTACAATTTATTTTAATTTTTTTTTTAGCCTCTGGTACTAATAGCGGCCTCACGTTGTCTTTCATATAAACTTGCCCTCTCAAAAGTTTTGGCCTGCTGTTAGCTGTGGGGTACTAATCAGCAGATAAAATATATGACCTCATTGTAAGGTTAAGCGCAAAGAGTTCATTAACTGCAGGAGATGAGCCTCTGCAAAACCTTTTTTCTTTTTGCAAAAGAAAAAAAAAGTTTGTGTACTTCATTTGGAGGTGCGGATTCAAGTGTTAGAGGTATAACAGATTTCTGTGTTATTTTACTAAAATGACCTTGGTTTGTTAGTCAGGTGAATAAAATAGCAATTTCTCAGTCTCATGTTTTTGAAAAGTCTAACTGGAATCCTTTGTTACCTTTAACATCTGAAGAGTTGCATTATTTGTTTAGAATTTTTTTCAAAAATAAAGCACTTAAGAAAAAAAAGAAGGCAGACAAAGATTTCTAAATTAATATGGCAAATGAAAACACAGTGATGTCTAGGCACCTGCAAGAGACATTCTGCTTTGGAACTTATTAGATGGGAAAACCCAAGTTGCATTGAAATTTCTGCCTAAGTGTATTATCTTAGAAGTATGAAATTGTTCTTTTTTTTAAAAAGCAAACAAACCCAATCCTGTGATTCAAACTACTGTTGTGAGACATTAAGGTGCTTCATCTCCTTTACATATAAATGAGAATAAATCTTAAAAGTTTTAAGCAAAATGCAACTTTGGATTGCTGTTCACTGCAGTGTTAAAAAATGTTTCCAGTAACTGTTACTAACAGTTAATGTAGTTGTCTTTGTTGTGTCCTAATAATATTTGATTAACGGTACTGTGTGTCTATAACTTTTTGAAGATTTTTTTTTTTTTTTTTTAACAACCAGGTTCAGCATTCAATTAAAAGGCAACCTGGCTTTCTGCCTTTGAAATATGAAGTAGTTTGAAGCTTTGAAACTATGAAATGGTTGAATAACAAACTTGCAGTATCATTTAGTAACAGTTAGTATAAATGTATTTCTAATGAGAGGAAACCTGTTAATTAGATGAAGAAGGTACACCTAGAAGCTCCGTAATTTTTTGGAGCAGACTTGAACAGGACATAATTTAGGACAACCAGAATGATTTGTCCTGTGGAAATGTTGGCTTGGAGAGAGAAATTTATCTTAGGAGGGGATTTGTCATCTAGCTTTATGAAGAACGCAACTACTAAGAAAAAAAAAAGTTGTATGTAATAAAGGGACATGAATAAAATTGTTGGATGGAAGAAACAATAAAAATTTGGATAGCTGAGTAAATATTTCGTAGCAGTAATGTGAACTAGCTTTGGACTGACTTAGTTCAAGAAAGCGGTGAAAGCTACCAGGTAAATTATCTTGAACTGTAACGAACTTGAACATTAAAAAGCATAAGCATGCTGCAGGAATGTTGCCCACCAGGGGATAGGCGAGAGAACGATAAATGGTTTTCTATATCTAGTTTTTATAGAAGTGTACCAAAGATCTGTTGAAAATACTTGCTATGTGCATGCCCAGGAGTACACACAGTGTCAAGTATGACCTCAGTAATCACATCAGCAGCTGTGTGGATTCCAATTCCAAATTATATGTTGCAATAATTACACTTTATGAACTTAGGTTTTAGTTGGAGTCAGACTACAAGATTGTTTTTAGAAGGGAGATTAACAATGTGACCCTTCCCCATTGTCTGTGAGAATAAATGAATTAAGTTGTCTAGGACTTGTTTCTTTAGGTCCACTTGTGTCTCAGCTTATGTAGTTAAGAGAATGGAACTTAAGGTGTGTGTTCATGTTGGATACAAAAAAGTAGTCCAGCTTTATTCAGAAGCTGGCATGGTTGCATTGCATTACTTAGTAAAAGTTAATCTTTTACAAATGATATCAAGACTCATATCTTCATTTTTTTAAAACAAAAATCTGTGAACATATTGTGAAAGCTTTTCGGGACTTTTTTTTTTGTTTTTTTTTAATCCTAAGACTTGAGCTGATTAGTACCCAATAAGAGATAGAGAAGGGTGAGCCAAAGTTGCTTTAGTTTTGACTCTGTGATTCAATCTGGCTTCTGTTCCAACTGAAAGACATGCAAAGGCAGTATTTAAGCTCTATAGCTTGTGTCCTGCCAACTTGTCATATCCAGGATGGAACTGTCCAGGAATGCTTCCTCTGTCAGGGACTGACACTGACTGACCTGCATAAACCATCTGCATATTATGCTACAGGAACTAGAGGCCAATTAGGACAATCTTTTTGTGCTGCCATAGCACAAACTATACTGAAGATCAAGTTCTGTTGCTGTATTTATTGCAAGCCTAGTAAAAAGGACTTTACAGAAAATACTAAAGCCATTTTGAAATTAAGTTCCATCCTCCCCTGTGTTAACCCAGGGATAATGGTTGTGTGTTCTGCCACATGGCTGAACTGTGATGTTACCTTGCTTGTTCAAGGTAACCTTGTGAATTCAAGCAAGTGGAAGCTTAAAGCTAAATCCCATTTGTTCAAGCGATATGTGATCTTCACTTAAAAGATAGTGGGGCACGAAGTTAGCTTGCTGTTAAATGGATTGGTTTATGCTGCATGTCATAAACTGTTAAACTTTAGTAAATGTTTACCGAAAGGTGTGGGTGTGTGTGTCTGCATTTGTGTGGAGGGAGAGAAAATGTGTGCGAACTGATGTTTTTAAGTCTTGACCAAGGCTTGGCCAAAGTGGACTAAAGTGGCTTGAATTGGAGCAGATTTTCAGAGGCAGAGCATAAAGTTCATCATTAACATCTAGGCCATTGGCTGGGGACTTGAAACATCTTACAGTATGTGGGAACAACATCTTTAAAAAGAAGCAGCTATGGATTATTTTTTTGTTGTTGTTTAGAGAAATAATGTAATAACCTCTTAGGCTTTTTCAGAAACAGTTGAACACTTGTCATTAAATCTTCACTCAGGTGTACCTTGCATTGCCTTGCAAAAAATGCCAAATTGACTCACCCTGAAGGCAAAGTGGTAAACAGCAAGAGCCTTAAAATGAACAAGCTTACTAAGATGCATTACCTGCCACAACTATAATACAGCTGTGTCCTTATTATGTTAGGTGTCTTTTCAATATGTGTGTCTAGGCTTTGTTTCTGTGAGGTACATTGATGCTTTTCTGTTTGTCTGAATGGGACGCTGTCTTCATTTTAAGTTTTTCAGGAAACTTCTAGTACATCTATATAGTGCTTCCAGGTTTACTTTAATACTTTCTCTTATCAAGGGTCACGATCAGAGTTCTACTCTCGCCCAGCACTCAGTTGAATTGACATTACCCAATCACCATCCATTTCACAGAGATTTGCTTCGATATGCTAAACTGATGGAGTGGCTCAAGAACACAGATTATGGAAAATATGAAGGGCTAACAAAGGTATGTGAAGTGCTCAAATGATGCTAGAGAATGTACATAACGTACTATTTTTGAGAGTCAAAAGAATTGCCTGTGTGTACATGCATGCCCTTTTTATATTCCTTTATATTAAATTTAATTCATTGCTCCACTTTTCTTATTCCTGTTTGGAATAGGAAACTTCATTTTTTTTTATATTTTTAATCTCCTGTATTTTTTTTCCTCCAAGATTCTATGTCTCTATGTTCTAAAGTATCATAAGATACTAATATTTATGTAAAACATATTAAGCTATTTTCATGTTGATGTGCTTATTGCGTATGTGACATCTTTATTTCAACAGAGCTTCATTTCACTTGGGAATATAAAAAAAATTAAGTGGTCTTTTGTAAAGTAGATTAAATTTTGGCTTTGTATATATGTACTTCTTAACTACTTTGTCTAAAACTGACATGGAGTGAAAAAGAATTACTGTAGAAGTATAGAAAATGTTTAGATAGAAGTCAAAGGAAAGTTAGCCCTTACAGAACAAGTCCTCTTATATTAAAGTGCTGTCGCTAAGCACAGTTTTTAAAACTCAACCATGGAAGACTTAAATTTGACTCTTAAAAGGGCTTTGAAATAGTTGTTCGTTTGCCTTCAGTGTAAGGCAAATGGTCAATGAATGTTTGACACCTTTGTGATCTAATAAAAAGAGACTTATTTATGTATTACGTGTGCTATGTAATAAAATTTTGTAGAACATAAGAAAAAAATTCTTGGGTCATCTTTGTTGATAAATAAATCGTTGTTGTAACCTTTGTACTAAAAATCTAAACAAACCAGATAATCTTCAAACTTATTTCAGTTGTTGTGCCTCTTGTCTTTTTGAAATTTGAGCTTATTTTTGGCAGTGTTGCAAACAAATTATTTTGGGATTGATTGACTCTTATAGTAAGTAGGCACACATAGTTTGTACCTCCCAAAGTTTTGTGTTTTCCTTGTGACAATAATAATAATAAAGGTGGTCATGTAATCATGAAGATGTGTAGGAATGGCATCCTGTTTGCTTTTTTTGGGGAATAGTAAGAGTCTAGTAAAAGAGACTACAGAGAATGGTGCTGAATTTTTTCCATTCTGCCCATGAATTCAATTCTATGATGCTCTACCACTAGTAATCCTATTTGTATGTACCACACTGCATATCCTTCCTTATGGAGAAGTAGCAATTTCTGATGCTCAATGAACTCACTAGGAAAATTAATATAATCTACTTAAATATCATGAATGTATTTTTGTGCATGCTACATAAAAATATATACGCATACACATGTATAGTCCAAATTAGTTTGTTATTTAGTAGAACTTACGTGCTTTCTGGTTTTTAAGATCTATTTAACTGTAACAAACCAAAGTCAACGTGTATACCTGTTAACTAACTTTACATTTTTCTTTTAAGAATTATATGGATTATTTATCACGACTATATGAAAGGGAAATAAAAGATTTCTTTGAAGTTGCCAAGATCAAGATGACAGGCACAACCAGAGAAGGAAAAAAGTTTGGTAAGCTTCCAGGAGGCGAATATCTTGCTTTGAATCTTACTATTTGCTTATAAAACACTCATTACAGCAGTTAGAGCCAATTTTATAATGGTGTAGAATTGCTTACTTTTAGTAAGGTGGAAGAAGTTGGATGAAAAACATGATTGGTAAAACTTCTGACTTCCACAAGGCTGAAGTAGCACAACTGAAATCTTACGAAAAAGGTCAAGGAGAAGGATAAAAAATGGTATTTCTCAGATTTTCAAATCTACACTCAGTTTTTATCAAACTACCAACCATATTTTATTAGTTGAACTGTTCCACTTTTTATCGCTGGAAAAAATTTGGAAAATCAACTCTTATATGTAAAAAAAGCTTGGGCAGCACATGTGTGTGTTCCTTCTGCTATTACTTCTGCTTTTAATAAGTTTTGGGTGGATTTTGGAAAAGGTAGATTTAACGCTAATTCTGTCTAAGGAAACTGTTGTATTTCATTGTGTTTTCAGAGGGATTTACCTGTGTAGTCCGAGACTAGAAATCATACTTTGTTAACATGTAGGCCTTTCTGTTTAAGGGAGAATGTATTCCTGCTAGGATTAAATATTAAATGGCCTACTATTGTATCTGAGTAAAGAAGTGAAGTTTTTTAAAAAAATAACCTGAATACTTAGAAAGCAACAGTGATAAAGGTGTATTTATATGTTGGCTATCCTGTATTTTAAAGTGCACCATTTCAAAACTAGTTTAAAATATTTGTATTTGCCACAGTCCACCAGTTTCCAAATCCTAAATTCAGAAATGATGTGCAGCTTTAATTAGTAAGTTCTGTCAAGACTATTTTGGATCCTGAACTTATGCTTTGAATTTTGACAGTAGAGAACAGAAAAAAGCAATGAAAGGAAGAAAGCAGGAGAGTGGTGAGGCTTGACTGAGGGAGGGGGAAGGTGGAAAGATAAGTCTTGGCAAGCTGTTGTACATGAAGAGCAAGTGGTGCCATAATATGTTGTTGTCAGAACAGTTAAATTCATAAATCTTGCAAAGCTATCTTATTGCAAAAACATAATGCTTTATCCTAATATAAATTGATTTCTAAAACACTTTAATCACTTTATCCTGGCACTTCTTTTGTGAATCGTATTTGTGAGGAGACAGTTTTTGTAGCAACTTCCTAATTTCTGCAAATGTTATGGAGTGACCAGACACTTTGGAGAAAGAGGTCCTTCAATTCACCAGCATGAGAGCTGCACCTTGAGAAGGCTTCTGTTGTGTATTGTGTACATTTCAAGCGTGTTTGAACTTTGCACAGAATAGTCAAGGAGGAGAGTAGCAAAGTTGTTTGATTTTTTTTTTTTAACCAGTTCTCTGGGTTTGATTTCTTTTGTAATACTACATTTTCACAATCATGCAAAGAGTGTGTGTGTTTGAGTCTTGCTGGTGACTGACTGACATGCAAAACTTGACCAAAGTGCCCAGTCCTCTGAAAATTGGTAGGAACCAGTCACAAAGTCAAAACTGGGAGCTGCATACAGTAAGGACTCTCCTGGAATTATTAACGTTATGAATGGCAATTAGCCATTAAGTAATGGTTATCAATGGCCACATATTTGAGGTCACAAGCAAATTTGACAATGAATTGATATTTCTCAAATTACTTCAGTCCTCTGTATTAATTTTACAAAGAAGAAAAGCAAATTATGTATGTTTAAAAAGCTGTTCCTTATATACATATGATTTCATTTCGCCATTGAAATATCGAGTTATGTATTTATTTTGTAACAGCTTATAATGGTGTGTAATTTCAAAAGCTTCTGTGTTGAAGGTAGTGATTGTACTATTACTAGTTGCACATAAATTAAAAATACATCACTTCTTAACAGTAAGCTTATTTAAGGAATAGTGTAGGTGCATAATGTTCCAGTTGTACTCGGACACTAAAGATGATCTGTTTCCAAGCTGTGTTGGTGTGTGTTCTTGCCTCTTTTTGTGCTTTGGGAGTAGCACTGCTATTTGAATGCCTCAAACGCAGAGGGGATGCTGGAAGAATTCTGGCATTCTGTGCTAGTGCAAGGTTCTTTGTCTGCATTTTTATGGCAAAAAAAAAATCTGGGTTGTGAGCATTCACACATGTCTCTAGTCTTTTTTTTTTTTTTTTTTCTTTATTTTTTTTGATTAAGCCAAGACTTTGAAACTTAAATACCATAAA